GTAAGGTTTATGCCCAAAAAGAGGATTTCTTTTTCTAGGTTAAGCTACATTAGTCAGCTTAGAGGTGCTTAGTGGAGTTCAATTTCAAAAGCTGATTTCCAAATTCTGATTGTATTGGATTATCATCTATCTATGAAAAATACATTGTTTAAAATCACGTGATTTGAGAATCAATTTTATCCGAAACATTTAGCACTTGGGATGCAGCACAATTTACCTGTAGTAGAAAAGTTCCCAGTTAGCTTCGATTTTAATTCTCTGACGCCTTTTCCGAAGGATAACAGGCTTTTGGGCTAAATTCTGAATATAAAAACACAAATATGTAGTGCTAACATGATCTTGGTGCAGCTTTCACAACACTACCGTATTACTTGTTACCCTGGATGTCACATGTACTGTATATTGCCATATTGTTATTTAGCTGTATGGCTATTAGGTCAAGGTGATGAAGCATTTATCAAGACACTAACAGTACCAACCTTTGGCAGATGATTTAACTCTTGCTGGCAGTATCATATGAGTAAATCGAAGAATATTAGAGAATAGGTACAGTGGGAGCTGACTGCTCACCGTAAGGGGAAAGAGAAGAAGCCGAATTGTAACTAAATATGGAGGAGAGAGCTTGAGAGAGAGTTGGGTCAATCAAGAGAGCTAAAAAGGAACATGATTATGGCTGAGAAGGTAGGTTAGAGCAGACTGAGGACAGATGGCGAGAGGAGGGAGAAAGAACGGATTCATCCTGAGGTGTGGGGACAGAAAGAATGGATGTGAAGCATGTTCCATGGGAAAGAATGCAGGAGAGGAACTAGTCATGGACCAAGAGAATGGAGGCAGAAAGAGAGCCGACTGTGGACTAAATTGTAATTTCTCCCTTATTACTGATGACTGAAGTGGTGGTGCAGTTTGCATACCACAAACAAGGGATGGGAGCTGCCAGAAAATGTAAAGTGGATGGTGGTGGGTCAGCTGACTGCACTGACCATTTTCAGGAAACAGATGAGAGAAACCTCAAATGAAAACAGGGCGCTGCAATACTATTTAATGTAATACTGGATTAACAAAATATTGAAAGAGAGAAAGAGAGAGAAAGAGAGAGAGAGAGAGAGAGAGAGAGAGAGAGAGAGAGAGAGAGAGAGAGAGAGAATATACTCACCAGATTTCTGTCCTGATGTAGAAAGGAAAAGAGAAAAGAAAGATTAGTTTAAAAGGAAGTAAAAAAAAAAACAACAACAAAAAACACCCAGTAAAAACAATATTTGAGGATTATCACCATTTCTTAATTCCTTGTAAGTTTGAATACGAAATATACAGTATTCTATCTCCAATGCATGCTGATAGCATTTTTACTTACTACCATCCAGAGAAATATTCAGACTTACCAAACCTGATATTTTATATTTTTACTTTAGTGTGGGCAACAGCTGTGTGTAACAGTTTAGGTTAGTAACCTGAGTTAGGAACTGTATTGCAGCCAGTACCCTCTAAAATGTGACACATCAGCTATAAAATATGGGATAAGCGGCAACATTTCTGTACAATTTTTCATCCCTAAAGGTTACAATTACTGGACATTTATCAGTCATATTGGAGCTGTAAAGCATGGTACAAATCAACTGAACGTCAACGCTTGTTTGCTGGGCTACACATAGGTGTATAACAGTCAAGCCCTAAGGTGAGCGGAACCATATATATGGAATTTGATATACAGTTGTCATTCTACTCCTAATAACACTTTCCCATTGTGTATATTTCAAATACTGGTACCTTCCCATTAAAGTTCGGGATAAGACTCTTACGGACCTAAGAATATTGCTGCTGTACCTGGGTAACTATACATTCCTAAGACCATGCTCCAGTACTACCCCACTTTATGTGCGTTAACCCTAGAAAGATCAAATGTGCAGTGGCAGTGACTGGTTCCTTTATTGGCTCTACAACAGGGATCTATAAAGTGCCATTTGAGTCAATATTTTTTTTGTTGAAAAAAGGAAAATAGAAAAGTACATGTATTCTCAACACAGTAATGTAAATGGAGCCCATCAGCAAATGGATTTAAAAATGTTATTTTAGCAAAAACTTTTACAATTAGGACAGAGTATACCTCTTTTTGTGCTATTCCCATCCTATCCCTCCAGTGCAACAACACCAAATCAACTTTGTCCTTGGTGAATTTTTCAACTTCCTTGGCAGCTTTTCCGGCAAGTCTTTGCCACTCAGGGACTTTGCTGCATTTGCCATATTGGTCCTAAAGATAGACATATACAAAAAATACATGTGTATATAAATAAACAGCTACTCCCAAAATGTTGTTTAGCGCATAATACAAGGGAACATTACAAATCGGCTTTAGGACTATTATAACATGAAAGTGGCTGAATACAAAAAGATAACCCATAACAATTAACAGATATCCTGTAAAAACTGTCATTTTCTATGCCTGCAATACAGCAAGTTCATATTTTTTATCAAAGCCCAATATAAGCCAACACTTTGTTTTTTTATGAATTTTGGATAGACAGGAAGAGAAAACAATTTTTATTACTGTCCATTGCCCATTTGGCCCTGTGACACCAAAACGAGAAAAGGGAACAGTTGTCACTGGGATTGGAGACAAAGACAATCTTACTATGACAGGATATAACCCTCCTCAATTTTATTGATGAAGAAAAATTAACTATGTAACAAAAAAAAACTTACAGTTGCAATTTTTAAGTTATCCCTGATGTGCATTCGGTCAACATCCTTTTCTGGTACTGGTTCCTTACTGTCCAGGTATGCCAGCAAACCTGAGGGCTGGGGAGTGAGAGACACAAGGCATTTATTATGTTATGAAAGGAATATGCAGATCCAACACCAGCAATTTAGAGCATGCCTGCTGTTTACACCAACCCGTCTGCTTCAGCTAACAAATTTAAGGTGATACTATGGCATATTTTCAGAGAGTACATTTCATGAGTTTATAAAGTAAAATGTATCTGGCACTATCACTACATCAGCCTGGGCTCACAGTACAATACTGCAAAGAGCAATGCTGATGTCATTACATCTGTGCCACTCCCTTGAGTACTGAAGAAAGTTACATGAAGACCCCAGGATGTCACGGGACCTGCCAATAGACAGTTGGATTTGTAGAAGAGATTTTTTTTTTTTTTAACTGGAGAACTGCTTTAAGACAAGGGAACATATTTTGTAGTATTTTTTTCCTAAAAGGAAAAATATGTAAGAAAGGCGTGCTTTTACTGGTACTTGTCATTGTCTACTTGTGGTAGGGAATGCTAAGAACACTGAATGCAAAGAATAAAATGCTCTATATCAAGTTCGACTTGAAAAGGAAATTCAACATACAATGACTCTCTGCACTCACAAACGTAGAGAAGGGGAGGTTAGAGACACAACCTAATTTTTCTGTTCTACTCACCTGTTTGTAAGCATTCTCTGATCAATACTTATTGTAAACATGGAAGAGTGCAAATGACGAGGTAAGGCACCTTCACTGAGTGCAAGCTCTTGCATCTTTGTTGCAATTTCTTTGTCTGCTTCCTTGGAAAAGAGGAATATTGAAGTAACTGCACACACATACCAAATCCACTCTCAGTATATGTTGTCTAAAGTTTAAAATAAAGAATTGACTAAAGCCTAGTCTTGCCATTAATCTAGACCTTTAAAATCTGGTTTGTTTTTCCAGCAATTACCACTTTGTAATAGTTTATGTAATGTTTAGCATGATATAAATATACTATACATTATTACAAATGTATATTTAAAACAATAAAATTCTCCCTCCCCCTCTCTTTCTATTTTTTAAAAAAAGTAGGTTCATTTTAATTACGGTCCTTTTCAATATGATACTTGTAGCTTATGAACGAGATGCTAAAAATGTAAAAGCCAACCTGTTTGTATTGGGGCCATGTCAGATGTGGCTCCCTTGTAGCGAGTGACATTCTGTTGTGTTCCAGACCGATGAGGGAGACACTCCATTAGCAGAGCTAGATCCCTCATCTGGGTGATTTTGCCACTGATGAGGTGACGTTAGCAGCAGAATAACCCATCTGACATGGCCCTTGGAGGCACATGAAAGTCAGTAGTAATGCAAAACAAACTGAATATTTACATTATAACGTCAAACATATCAAACTGAAATTGTGTTTCATTTCTCTTTTACCATTAAAATACCTACTTCTATTATAGCCTTCATTACTAAACCAGCGCCTTTTATAATTGCCATTGAGGGGTGCTACAAGAAAATAAAATTGCATTAGAGATTAAAAGATTAATTTTCACCATAAACAAAACTACATTATCTATAATAACGCTGAGCCAGGCTTGAATCTGATTAGTGGGTATAGGTCAGAGGTGTTGGATCCCGGATAGGTGGGGGAAGTCTGATTTGGAATTTAATCACACAAGTGAGCACTATGGATAGAATAAAGAAGATATTAATAAAAAAACAAAAACAAACTGGAGCTCCAAACCAACAACCAAATAAATTTCATCATAAGGAACAAAACGCATTTTCAGTAGTTCTACAGGATCTTCATCAGGGTTCTAAAATGCTGAGAGTGCGAGTTTCCTACCATTCTATGCTCTATCTAAATGTAAAAAAAGCGTAAGACTGCTTCTGATCCAGGAGAACCATTCCCTAACACACTTGCTGCGCTCTCCTTATTGTCTCCCCCACACAGGAAGCCTCATATTAAAAAGTGTCAATATGTATGTCAGTCTCCGATGGGATGTAGGTGGTACAAACCAGTTGCTGAAGCCTTTTTGGAGAACATGAACATAATTTTCTATTTAACAGAGTCTAAATAACATTCCTCGCACACAGTATTTTAGAACCCTAATGAAGAGGGTTCTATAGAACTCCAGAAAAGCTTTATCTTGTTCTTTAAGATGAAATAAATTTCAAAACTTTTGATCTCTAAGTTTTAGGTATGGAGCTCCATTTTTTTTCATATCACCTGCATTATGCCCGTAGGCCTCTCCATGTTCAAAAGCAGCCATATCCGAGTGATTACACTCAACATCAGACTTCCCCACCAACCATCTGGGCTCCATCTCCTCTGACCTACACCCACAAATCAGATTCAAGCCTGCCTCAGGTCATGAGGATAATGAACCACGTTCACAAACTGTGAAGTGCAGTCTTGATTACATGATCAATTACATAAGAGACAACCAACTAATCAGAATAAACTATTCGTATGTAATGGTAAGCAGTAGGATATAGGTTATGCAAAAGCTGGAACTTGTATGCTTTGCTGTACTAGTAAAATTTACTTCTAATTCAAATGAATTTGAATCTTTGGTGGCCACCTACAAAACATAATTCAAAACACAAATGGCCCATTATCATGAAGCATAAGCATTTCATATCTGCACCATAATTTTCCCATCAGGCCTGGTTCACATTTAGGCGATTGCAGCTGTTTTTGCGCGATTTTGCTTTGAAAAACCACACGAAAACCGCGTGGTTCTCAATGCATAGATATGTCTAAGGGACCAAAACCACACAACAGCCACCTGATAATATAGCTTCCAGCATCTTTTTGTGCGACAGGCGACATCGCACTGCGACGCAAAGCTTCGGTGTGAACTGTTGCCATGGACTTGCATGGGTTTTTGTGTCCCAGGTGTGAACCAGGCCTTAATAATTCTAATCCTGCAAAGTCAATGCTGGTTACTCCACTGTATCAAAAAATATTTGAACAATACCAGCAAAGAGAACAATAAGAAAATGAAGAAATACCTGAAAAAGTTTGAAGAGTGTTCTACCATTTGATGCAACCATCTCTAGCAACATGTCAAACTGCTGCCCTTCTGTTGTCTCGCTGTATGGGGCACACAGAGCAAAGGTAAGGAAATCCAGGAGCGAGCTGATAACCAGAGCACCAGTCCCATAACTCTATATACCAAAACAGAGAGCAAAACAAAAACCAACGTCACAATCCAGGTGGCAGAACTACAAATCTTAACAAGAAATCACTGTGCATGATTGTGCCTAAACAACCAATAGTATGAAGTGTATTTTATATACTGGTTCTAGTTCATCAGATCTTCAACATACCAGTCACCAGCACACAGTGATAGCAAAATGTTTGCAAGTTTCACCCATAGTAAAATTCTATAAAACATAGGCATGTTCTTTGGACCCAAGTACCATTAAATAGGCTCCTCCAAGTACAGAGATTGAAGTGAATGGTCTACGTATTATGTAAGGTGATATAGTTATTTTAAGTGCAAATATATATTACTACAAAAAAAAAAAAAAGAAGGACAAAGAAAATGGCCTCAACCATTGTAATAAATCTCCAAGCTCTATGAATCTTAAAAGGTTAGAACCTCTGTGATGTTTTTGCAGTTTGTGTGCCAGTTGGGGAGAGTTTCTTCAACTGCGTGCTACAGGAAATACACAGGAAGTACATGAAAATCTCCCCATGAAAGCACAGTAAGCAATAGTAACCTGGCAGAGGCTCTAACTCTTTACCTACTCTACTAAAAATGTGTTTATATTACAGTGTCCCAGCCTACATAAAGCATATTTCCAGCCACAAAAAAAAAAAGAATGCTCAAATGTTTTAGTTTTGAAATAAAATATATACACAATTCTTAATTTATATTGTACTGACAGTTCAGCAAGCTTGACTACTTTGAGCAGAGAAAGAAAAAAGACATTCGAGCTAGCTTTAGATAATACAAAACATTAACAAAGTCCAGGCAGAAACTGATTAATCATTTATGCAGGTCATAGCTGACATATTAATCAATACAGTGATGCAGTTTATGGTAAGCATATCAGCCTTGCTCAAAGTATTTTACTTCAGGAAGAACTCCAGCCAATACTTTTTTCTAGTTCTACTTAGTGGAACGAATCGTTCGGTCTTCACAGTCTTTTTAAGGCCCTGTTCACACTGGGGCAGTTCGGCCGCGCGCACCTGCCGACATGAACGATTCAATACATTGCTATGGGGACTGTTCATGCGACCACACGGATCCACGAGATCTGAACCGTCCCCGCCTGAATTGCTCCCTGTAGCCGCGTGTATCAGTGCAGTTTCCATATAGCTTTTAATGGAACCGCGCTATTCAGCGCGATTTTGGGTGTTTTTAATTGCATTTCAATGCTGAAACACAATTAAAAACTCCCAAAACAGCCCTTTTAAAATCAGCGCGGAAACCGCACTGATCTGCAACTGCCTTAGTGTGAATGGGGTCTTATTGCTATTTGTGTACCTGCTGGGGAAATTCCCCTGTTTATCATGTGGCAAAGTAAAATGAAATCCACAGTTTTTCAGTCACCAGAACAGGAACAGAACGTTAAGTTAAAACAGCATGCTCCCACATGCGATACTTCAGTTAAGGTGCAGAGGTATAGATCATACTTGTGCAATCTCTCTAATTGCAGCTTGCTCTGTTTTAGGTTTTGAGTGTTCTAACCTACCTAGTGGTACTATCAACTCTTACAACTATTTTCCATAATATAAAAAATGTCCAGCAGGGAGAGTGGAAATTTCATGTAATGGCTGAAGTCAAATGTGACAACCCAGTAGAGCAATCTCACCAAGACATCTAAGAAATCATTGGGTGGTTGAGTTTTCAAGTGTCTACCATAACCCAAAATAACTATCGTCATTTTAATTATACTAGGTCTTATTTTTCTATAGAAATGTAAATATAGCCCAATTTAACTTAAAAAAGTGAAGCATTCTATAGATCTGCTTACCACATAAGAGTTAAATTTTTCTAGCAAGTTTTCCAGAAACTTTTTGGAAGAGAGAAGGGATGCTTTGTTCAGCTGCTCTTGCCTTAGGTCATAGTCATCATGCATGGGCTGCAGGAGGAGGGAATCAAGAAACCCAAGTCAGAACATATACAGAACATCTATAAAAGTGATAAAACATCTGCAAAGTAGAGATACTTCAGGCAAACCCGCTGGCAGCTAGACAAATGCACAAATGTAGCACCTAATAAGAATGATATGGCACATTTTTCACACAGGCATCTGTAGAACAATAAACTGGTTAAATAAGATTATTAAAGAGAAAAACAAGTTCCACATGATACCGTAGAATGTGGTCTACAGATCACAAGTTTCTAACAAGTGCCAAAACCTCCATATGAATTGAACAAAAATACACTCAGCGGACAGTAAAATAGAAACCTGGATGCTGCAACAGAAGTGTCTGCAAAATTTAACTACTTCTACATTTTAAACGTTTGCTTTGCATGTCCTTTTGCCAATGTTCACAGAAACTGGTCCGAAATATGAATTATTCAGCTTATAAGCAGGTGAAGGTAAAGCCACACTGTCATTTATAGCCTTCATGGTAAAGACACCTCAACCTCTCTTATGACAATCATGTGTCACTGTGGTCTGCATATACAGTAGCAAGGGGAAGTGGTTAGAGTTGGACATAAGTGCTTAGATGCTGTCTTAACAAAAAGTTGAAATTTAAATGTCCTTAATTGTGCTATTTAGGCTCATTTTGGGGAAAGAGGGAGTTTGTTTGAAACAGCTGATGGAGCAGATTATGAAAAGAGCCAATATGTTTACATGCTTGGTGAAGGGCAAGCTTGACTTTACAACATGACATAATGAGATCCTGAAAGGAGAATGATTAATTGCGCCAGTAGGGCAAGTCTGAAAAGTACAAAGCCCAAAAAGAGTAGTATAAAGCCCTCTGAAGAAAGCAATCTCCAAGGTGTACAATGAATGCAGCACAACACAAGACACCTCATTAAAATGCTCTTTACATGGAAGGAAGGCCTTTGCGGACGAACTTGGCAGATCTGAGATGATTTAGGCAAAGCCAAATTCTAACCCCACAAAGCAATTACCAGCACAACACAATTGAAGACTGCATTGTCAGTTGCACATAAAACATTACACTCTTGGTTGAATAGACTGATCCAGCATATAATAACAGGTACATGTACAATTCATAGCAAGCTACCAAATGTTTATGCAATGGGGTAAATAATATCGTCACTTAATTGTAAATGACTGGGAAACTATGCTTACAACTCCAGCATCATGATGACAAATTCAGGATGTGGTCTGAATTTATCATGCAGGATACATCATATGCAAAAGGGAGAAAAGAGTCACCATCCTTGGTCATTTGATTGAGCACCAGCGTCTGTATCACCCTAAAAGGACCCTGTTTGAGCCATTATCATGTAGGAGACAAAAAGGGTCAATGTATTATTGAATAGGAGTTCCAAGCTCTGTTTACAGCATAAATATGTGTTAAAAAGATCCAATGTGTGCTCTATGAAAACTAGAGCACAAGAGAAGAGAAACTGTAATCTGAAGACTCTCAGGGCAGCAATGGTTAAGGAATCCTATAGGCCTATATAGGAAACCGCTCTGCATATTCCTGCTTCTGCTTTACTTACCATCCCCCAGTGTATTCTACCAATCTGTAAGATATATGAGAGGAGACAAAGGATGGGCGAAACTTACACACATAAGTGCACAGAGCATGTCAATAGCAGCATGGGTAACACCATCATTGTTCCTCTTCAATGCCTTCACTACTTTTACTCCAAGGCGCTCCCGAAACCTGTATTTTAATGAAATACAATAATATTACACAGATCTAATGCAATAAAGCCAAAACATTATTAAAAATCATAGTGACATCAAAAAAGTCAAAGGGATTAAACATTTTGAACCTACTTATCAGAAGAAACAACCATCTAGATAGGAAATTCGCCTGCCAGTTGAAGACCATACAACAGCAATAAATAATATTTTCTTGTCACGGATGAAAGCAGCTTCTGTTTAGCAACATACATTCCTGCTTGCAGACACTTTACAGTTTTTATATGATCCCTAACATAAGCTGTACACTTGTGCTAATACATTTACATACTCCTGGAAGAACACAAACCTGTTTCTTCCATTTTAATTGTGATTCAAATTGAACTAGCAGTCACCACAGAATAGCACAGACATGAAAAATCATGCATCAATGACTTGCACTCATTTGTGATAGTTGTTATTAGGGGCTTTATTTTCTTATGTGGTTAAGCTGCTCATTCTTCTTGGAAAAAAGCCCCTTGGTCCCCTAAATTCTTTAGTTATCTAACATGAACCATATGTCTCCTCTAAGAGGCATCAGTGATGTTAGGGTCAGGATATTGTGGTAGCCACTTCACAAACTTCATTTTTTTCTGCTGTAGCCATCAAAGGGTCAACTTGACCTTATGTTTGAGATCACTGTCATGTTGGAAAGTCAAAAGAGCACCCCATGCAATGTAAATTTTCCTCCAATATTTTACAATAATATGCTGAATACATCTTGTAATCAATTTTGGTTGAATACCCTGTGCCACTGTAGCTCACGAACCCCAAAACCGCAGAGATCCTCCTCCTTGCTTCAATGCAGGGATTGTATGCTTCTCTTCATAGGCTTTAGCAAAATATTTTGTTCATGACTTTAACCATAATGTTCAATTTTGGTCATATCACTCCACATGATTTTGTTCCAAAAGATTTGAGGCTTTGCTAGGTGCTGTTTGGTGTATTGTAAGTGGGCTGTTTCTGGCAATGGCGCAGCAAAATTGGCTAACATTAAAAAAGTTCTGCATACTGTCAAGGGTTGGAAGATCCCCCCATTAAAGAAATTCATACTTTTTTTTTTCTTCCATTTATAATCATCAGGAATTTAAAAAAGAAAAAAAATTAAAATATTTGTTTTCACGTTGTCAAGAGAAATATATATATTACACATGAATACACACACACGAATATATATGTAATATATATATATATATATATTTATTTATATGTGTGTGTGTGTATATACACAATGCATGCGTGTGTGTGTATATACAATGCGTGTGCGTGTGTATACACAGTATAATATCTAGATAGATAGATAGATAGATAGTTGTACATATACATACACCTTCAGGTCTTACACAAGTGAATGAATGTCATAGATGTTCTGGGGCACCAATAACCTGCAGTTCCTTGCTAGTCTTCAGCATATCAAAATTGAAAACATTTAAAATGATTGTGCTCAGGGCATATGAAGAGGAGTACTTGAATACATTTTTTTAAAGCCCAACACTGATGTTTTGTGCCCCCACCTCATCTTCTGCTTTCCCCCCGCCGACAGTATTTTTTTAAACAAGTTTTTATACTTTTTCTTTCTTGCAGTCTTCCGGCCTGTCCAGTAACATGGTAGGGCCTTCCTCCTCTTCTTTAATAGGGCAGTCCTTTCTGCTGTTTTCAACTAACCTGCTGTGAGCTCAGGCTGCATGATGACAAATCCACAGAGGGTGTGTCCACAGCAGTCTGGGTTCATGGTACATGGGTTGTATTGTGCTGGCTGTCATTCAAACCAAAACAACGGCGATAACAGCAGGGTGAAAGTACCTATTGCGAGGCACAGTGATGGTTTGAAGGTGTGTATTGCAGTAAAAACTGATTTTTAAAATGTGCAGAGGAAGTCATTTTTATCAAAATTGCAGAGTTACAGCTTCAAGGGACCATGTACAGACAAAAAAAAAAAAAAAAGATGGGCTGCTATTGCTAACTTCTTTGTAAAAAGGTCAGTCAATAAAACTACTTAGTCACCTACTCACTAAACTATAACAATACTGCAGGACTTTGTCTACAATCATTAGACTGGTCATATGCTCGAAAATGAGCCAGCAGTGGAATAGGAAAGACCAAAGAAACTTATGGCTTGAACTGTAAAATGTAAATGTTTTTCTAGGTGAGAGACTCGCTAAGGAAAACGAAGATCCCAGATTGTGCACTTAAAAGCAAGTCAGCAATGACGGCTCTATCATTTCTGTCCTGACCTCACTTCAACTACATTTTACTGCTCCTGTCCTGACATCACTTTAACCCCTTCATGACAGCTTGTTTTTGGTTTCTGTTCGTAAATGACTGACACACTTTTGACATTTTTGCTGTGCGATTCTTTAACGTCAGTATTATACTTTCTTACAAAGTGCACCCACACATATTATATATTGTTTTTTAGAGGACAAATAGGGCTATATATTTATATCACATATGTGTGTCTAAAGCCTCACTTAGGACAAATAAAATATAAACAAAAGAGGAAAAAAACGTTAAAAAAAAATTTGTAGTATTTTTTTAACAAAACCAGCACAGCTAAAAAAAAATGCAATACATACATTCATTTATTTGTCCCTTATTTTTTTACACTTTTTTTTTTACACTTTTCACTTTTTTTTTAAACTTAAAAATGTTATTTTATTTATTTAATTACATCAAGCAGTCATTGTGAATTAATCTCACTATTACTGCTTGATAAATTAATACATTTTTGGTTATTATCAGGCTGCTTCAAACTTCAGAACAGCTGATAAGTTAGTGACACTGATCCTGCAGCAGTTCAGGATTCAGCTGTCACTGAATGTTTCAGAAAACTGAAACATTCTACTTTGAAGAATAGATACATTATGGGTCTATTTCTGAAAGTCAAAGATAAAAAAAAAAAAAAAGCCAGTATAGCTTGACAGAGATATCTCTCTCGATCTATACGAGCTGTCAGAATGCGGAAAAAGCCGGCATGTGTGTCCCTCTGCTGTGACTCTCAGACACCCGATATTAAGGTATCGGGTGTCTGAAAAAGGTTAACCCTTTCATTAATGGATGCCTAGATAGTTAGACATCCATTACTGAATGGTAACCGTTGATTCTCAGCGGTTACCAGCCTTCTAGTGCAGCAAATAACTCGTCACGTACAGTGTACGTGACAAGTCATTTGGTCCCTTTGTGGCGGGACGTACAGTGTACGTCTCCCGTCACGAAGGGGTTAATGACGTTTTACTGCTCAACATTTCCCAAAAGCTGGCAACAGACTGTTTAAAAGTGCTGGAACCAGATCACCTATTTTGGGGTGCATCTTCATTTGAAATCATCCTTTATAAATCTTATTTGTATTACAGTGTGTTCATATGTAGAACAAGAAGGGTAAATTGCTGCAGTCTTAAGAGTACATCTAAAGTCAAAACCTTATTTTTAGATTTCAATGGAGTATGGAATGGGTAAACACCCAGTTACTTTGTTTTTTTCACTGTCTGTGTCCCGCTGGGGGAAATTACGCTTCACTTCCTGTTCTGTAGACTTAACAGGAAATGTCTGCCATTTAACACAATTAACAACAGGTTACAAATGGGGTTGAAAGTGGTATAGACAGAGGGCTAAATATAGGGAAGTCTCCACCACTACTGTTAAACATCACTCAGTAATGTAGTTATGTAATGGCATCACAGTTTGTACAATTATAAGGCATTAACAGATATCTTTCTTGAACGTATGTGTATCAGTTATATTGTACAAATTATTCCACATGATTTTAAAGAATAAGTGCACGTTCAGACACTTTTTGCCCCTCTCCCCTGACCTAAATGATCCCACCCTCGCCCTCTGCAGATCTATACTTAGCAAGATCTGAAGGCCACTGCCCCACTATTTGACATCCAGCACTGCACATCTTCCTCTATTTGTCATAGGAACATGTGCCCCCATTGAATGATTTACCCTCAACTCTTGCTCTGGTGACAACTCTAAAAATGTTGGATTTCCCCTCACTTTGTCTTGGTGACAATGGTCAAAAAGTCACATACATACAACACCACAAACTTGACAGAGGACTTAACACTTGTCCACTCGATCCAAAACTAAAAGAAAGCTTTGCCTTTACATAGATGTTAATCTACTGAACGAAGTACACTTTGTACTGATCAGAAATAACCTTGAAAACTCAAATTAGGATATCTATATATACATTATTTATGTCAGCAGTGCTCATTACGTTTTTCTGTATGCTGGCGCGTCACAGAAAAAAATAACACACAAACATAGCCAGGATTTGTACATTAAGGTGTCTAAAGCTCTGAAGACCAACATATAAAATATTAAAACATCCTACTCCATTAAGTGAGGCCTCTGGCAAAAGGCACGGCAGCAGAAGACAGATTTTTATCATGACAAGCTGATTATCTACTTACTTTGGTAGCTGAGTAAAGGCCAGGAATCCAGCTTTTGAAGCCACTAATCGCCTGACTGCCTGAAATTGGCTCTCCAGTTCTGCATTCGAAGCTGCTAAGTCTCCTTCTTGGGAGAGTAAGGATGTTATGGCATTATTTATCAACTTCTCTTTGTTCTCAGAAAAGAGACCCTGTTAAAATAGATTCAGTGAGCACATCCTTTATATTAATGTTTAATTGTGAAAAAAGTACAAAATATAACACTATGTAATAGTGCTTCAGGTACAATAAAATGACATTTTTTATTGTTATATGCTCACAGATGATCGTATTTTATAGACATATCAGAGGTCTGCTGGTTCTCTACTGTACAGATTGGCTCCAGGACCAGCTCCTCACTTACTGCAATTACATTTGGCACAAGCACTGTGAAAATGTTTCCTTTACAGCTAGTTACTTCCTTACTCTTGCACTGCAATCACAAGTAAATGCGTAAATCAATTGTGTGGCTTGCACATATCATGCACTGTATAGCCAGCCAGAGAAATTTGACTTGTTTTTTTATTTCATATAAGGGGCAAGTTTAATTTGGGATTGCATTCATGACATGCATTCCCCATAACGAACACTAAAGAAATTCACACCGGTCAATACAACTGGCACCCACCACTTACTTTTTCATAAGTATAACCACAAACTGAAAATCATGCTGGCTGTCAGCTTCACCACCAGGCTAAAGCCCAATTTATGGGTGTGCATATGGACAAGCTACAGCACTGTAGCCATCGCCTCTTTTCATTCTAATTGACCTGGATATTGTGTGTGCCATTCCCCTCCTGCTAGCCATTAGCCAGACATGATTCAGGCAGCTGCCAACTGGATGTGGTTGCTCTTGCAAAAGTCAGCCACCTGGGTGAGATTCTGGTAAATCTCAAACAGAGCCTGCTTGCCAGCCCGTATCTCCTCCTCTTACAATATCTGCAGCTCTTCCATCTTACAGCCCCGCACATCTCTTCCTTGTGCACCCCTCTTGCCAGCCAGTATTTCCTCCTCTAATAACATCTGCAGCTCTGTCATCTGACAGCTCTGGGCATCTCTAATTTATACACTGTAGGACAGACAACAGGGCCAAGACCCACCCACTTAATAATCTGGGGAGAGAGACTAGAGTACTAAATAAATTAATAATAAAATAGTTGATGGCTTGTGTTACTGAGAATGACGGCGCTCATCTTCAGCTGCACTTAATGCAGCATAAAGAACTTTTTTTGGAGAAGGAGAGGCTAGTCAAATGACTAAGTTACATGAGTCAGTTCTCCTGGCATCTTTCCTATTCTCATTATTTACAGGCAGAGTGCAATGCACATCTGTAAAGCATTTCAAATTGCTTTATAAATGTAGCATTTGTTTTGGGGTTTTTTTGGTTTCTTTTTTTAATGGCATGGCTGCAGTAAGGTTACACCACAGCTTTCTAACTGGGACCCCAAATAATATAATTAGTAAACACTTTTTATTTTATTTCCTTGAAATAGGATATAATGAAGAATTCTCAACATGGTCTTAAAAAATGTATGTGTCCTCACTCTTTCAACTACATCAAGCAGCCTGTACAATTTATATAAGGCACATAGCCAGTTTCTTTTACCCTGTGTCCAAACTACGACTCAATTCACTCAGATTGTTGTCTCTTAAAAACCATCTATTCTTACACACACAACAATGATTTTTCAAAATAAATAGACATTTAACTGTTGGAAGCCATATTTTTCATGATCTCAAGAATTCTGAGAAAGTACAACTTGTGTGAAATCCGACAGGACTTTAACATAGATCATAAAAAAAACAGTGAAGCGTGGTAATTAACCACTTGCCGTCCGCCCGTTGTAAAAAAAACGACGGACGGCACTGCAGCATTGGTGGGTTGCCGTCTCCAGGCGGCATTTTTTTTCTGCTCGCGGGCGCGCACGGGCAGAAAAGACCCGACCAATGCACCAATCCGTTACCGGGTTTTTCACATATAGACGATCACCTGTCAGTCATCTGGCTGCTATAGCCAGAGAAAAGAAGCTGATGAAGCAGATCTCTGCTTCATCAGCTTCTTTTGGGGTCCACAGGTGACATTAGGGTTCCTAGAAACCCCTAATGTCTCCATAAAGAGGACCTGTCAGTGTGCCTTTGCTATTATATAGGGGGATTGTTATCCCCCTATATAATAGCAATAACAATAAGTGCCAAAAAAAATATATAAATAAAAAAAATTATGTTTAACTCCCCCCTCCCCCCACGTTTATGCAGATATAAAACGTAAATACGCGTCCGGTGCACCAGCGCACGAAAACGACAATTGCGCTACACATGTTACATATCGCCGCGAATCACATTATGCATTTGTGAACTGAACCTTTTGTACTATGCTGAGGCTGTGGAACGTCACACACAGATTCTACATATTTTTATCCTTTAACACCTTTACCACACATATAGCAATTGTACCAGGGTTATGTTGTGCTAGAGTTCTTCTTTAGTTTGTAATTTGACAACATAACCTTTTTGTGCAAATTACACTTCTACATGAACTGTTTTATAAACCCTAAATGTTTGCGGAGATCTTTGGCAGCATTACAAATGTTATTTTTGAGTTGCATTTTTTTCCTTTGGCCTTTTTACAAAAATCCAAGAGAACACAGTGCTAAAACTGGTCTATACCTTGTGAAGGTGAGCCTTTTCACATTTTCACTTAAGTGCATCTAAAGCCAATAACTTTTTTGTTTTACAATTTTGGAAAGGGAAGTAATTAGATAAAAACCCCTGTCCCATTAATGAAGTTTCCTGTCACTGAAATTCCTCTCTTAGAAAATTGTCACAGAAAGAAGAAGTATCCCCACTGGAATATTTTCTCTTATTGCTGTTTCCAGACAACTAAAAATTTGGGATTTTTAGTCCTGGGTAAAATGATTACAAGAAAAATTGAGGGGTGGACTTCCCCAGTGAGGACACAGGCAACAATAGATACCAGACAAAGGTTCTAACCCCTCACCACTCTATCCAAAACTAAAAGCTTTACCTTAGAAATGCTCACAAAACATTTTGTTATTTTAAAAGGAAAAATGGGCTTAAAATGTGCATGATGCAATATGCGAATACAAAAAAATGGTTACGAAATAGTTATAAGTATACGCACTATAGTTCCTTGTTCCAGTTAGGAAAGTTCAGGTCATAGCAGAACTCATTGTAAGAGTCATGCTATTAATTTCCACCATGTAATGGAGGTTAGCTTGACATGTCTCAATTTGAGTAGGGCACAAAATAAATATGCAAACAAATCATTTAAATGCAGAGATTGAATGAAAGATATAGAATATGTGTGCTAGGTATATACCTACATCTTGTGTTACAGCATGAAGAACGCCACTATAAGAAATATTAGAGTTGAATCTAAAGACAGAATCTGCAAACACTCCATCTGTAACAAAAATGCAAAAAAAAAAGGAGTTTTTATTGTTTAAAATACAAGCCGATAAAAAGATGCATTATGTTTGATTTAATCAGTCTCTGACACAATTATATGCACTGGATGAACTTAAAGGGTCAAACAAAGTGCATTTTCCTCTTTGCCCACCCCTTTACAAGGCAGTAGTCACCGGGGGGAGCTCAAATGGATAAGTGCACTTTATTTGAAAGTTCACTTATCAATTAAAGAGTAGCCTTATGATTCACTAGTAACAAAAGCAAGGAAAAAGATCATGCAATAAGATTCATTTATTAAAGTAGAGATTTTTCACAAAGCAAAGTGAATGTTAAGCCTAGTAAATAAGGTGAGGTTGTGATCAACCAATTATATGCAACATAAGTCCTGTTTTTATTTTCCTTACACATGTCTGGGTATTGAAAGTGAACACAAGTTCACCCCATTTACTAACATTTTCTCTGTATAGTGAACAGCCTCTACTCCTTTGGTGGATCAAACTTACCATGTTTCTTGACCAATCCATTAGAATAGAACATGAATTGTGACACACTCAAGAGGTCACCAACAAAATCCACACACGTGTAGACAATATTACTACATGTTCATTGTTATAACTTACTTGGAGGAGTTGTAAGGAACTTCAAATGTAGACTTTCTACTTCCTCATCCACAGGCACACTCAGAAGACCCCATCGTTGCCCCCTTTGAGTCGGGGTCATTTTGACACACACATCCCTATTTCCGGAAGCTCTGACTCCATCTAAAAGGCTCGCCAATAAGGAATCTCTGGTAGAAAACATGACATTTTTAATGAAACAAATACTTACTGCAGAAATCCAAGCAAACAATCTGCCATGCCAGGTAAAACATTAGTAATTACCTTTCAGTTGAAGAATATTTACGAATTTGTCCTTTAATGAATTCAATGGTAAACAGTTGAGGATTTTGAGGGTCATAAACAAGTGCAAAAATCTAAGGAAAAAAACAAAACAATAATAAATAGGTCTTTGTAACAAGGATATTATGCATTTAGTCTTATATCTGATGAACAGCTAGGTATGGAAAAATATTTTTGAAAATGCAAATTGATCCTTGAGGTGAGATATTTTTCCAGCTCATCCCACAGCAGGGACAGACCTCGATGCTGCAAGAGTGACTGGGAACAATAACATAACAAGCTGGCAAAGGCATGGTTAAAGGAGAACTATGGGGTAAGTTTTTTCCCCCATAGTTCTCCTAAGGGTCATGGGAGGACACAAACTAGCATCCTCCCATGACCTAAAGCTCAGTATATGGAGACCGCCACAGCCGGGACAAATCCCGACATTACTGTCGAGATCCACCCAGCTGCGTGATTGACAGACATTGTACCCGCCCCCTACCCCGCCCGTTCCGCCAGTCAGCGCTGGAGGATCTGAGCGGGGATGGGGGGAATCCCTGCAGGGAACCATGAGGACATGATCGAGAAGTGAGCGAGTGACGGTATGTGTTCGCTCACTTCCCGATCTATTGAGCCGACGTGTGACAGTTTCATTGTCACACGTCGGCTCGAACTATGAGGTTGAGTGAAAATCACTGACCTCATAGTACTCCTTTAACAGAAACAATTGGATGTTGTACACAATAGCACTGAAGACACACGAGAAAGTAAGATTTTTAGTAAAATCGGTAGTCATGTTCATGGCTTTGGTCTGTGTAAAGTGAAAGAGTCACGCTTTAATAGCTAAAACAAGTAGAGGCAAGGCGCTGGACTCAAATATTTAGAAGATCGGCCAGAGCATGATAAAAGCACAATGGCGCTAGTCAGACTGCTCTTAACACAAATCGGATATTCCTCGGATAAAGGAACCCAGAACTGAAGATACACATATGAGTGCGCCAAACAAGACAATACGAGGGTCCAAAAACTTTTAATAATCACATTACTCCAAGTTTTTGGACTCTCATACTGTCTTGTTTGGCGCACTCATTGGACTTTTTATACGCTTTAAATAGCTGCCTGAGTCACCTCTGGAGAGTTTTTCCCATTCTTGCTGTGCTGGTGACACACAGGAACTGCCAGCAAATCTATTCAAAGTGAGGAGATATGCCATTTTTAGCAGCTGGAACTGGAATAGGTATCACTATTGCAAGAGTTACCTTTCTATCCTGGTGATAACTGTAATATGATTGTTTCCTCTTACTTTTTTGTCCTTGTAGTAATGACGGCAATAAATTCTGATTAAAAGGTCTAACCCTTTCCCAAATTAAAATGTCTGAAGGTATATACAAATTCTAAAAAGAATCCATAAGGAGGTATGTAATGACATTTCTGTCATGACCCACCCCCTAGCTAGATTAGAAACACCAGATGGAGCACCAGGCAGGTTCAATAAACTGGCAAGAAATGAAACCCATCCCAAGTTCACCCATGGTGGCATGTCTTTTGTAGGCTAAGTAACCCAAAATTGGCCATACACAGTTTTAGATCCCAATGCATGTTTTTGAGATCCCAACAAGATCCCAACTTAGTAATACTTTCAAACTGATATGTTCAGTTGAGGAAGCTGCACAGAAATACTTTCTTTGCCACTCACATATCTTTATAAAGTGGTTTCTACAGAATTACATCTCTTCTGACATATAGTCAGTTTGTAAAACATTGTCACAATGTTACAAAGCATTTAGTTCCAACACAGTATGTGGAAGTAATATTGGGAAACAATTGTCTGTTGAGTAGTTTGACATCATCCCAGACTCTGATGTTCAAAACGCCAGCCCTCTAGTTTTGGAAGATTAATTCCCAGCAGACTTCTCAGTTCCACCCCATGCATATTATTATTATCTTTCGCTTGAGGGAACAAAAGCTAATCTGCTACACTTGCTAATATGCAGAGGGCCAGAGCAGCAATCATAGCTGGCACTCACCTCTCCTAGTGGTTTCAGTGTTACAATATTGTAGGTTGCGGGGTCCCGTTCCACTAGACAAGTTTCAGTAAGTGCTAATAATCTTTTTACAGGCTCCTAAAATAGAATGCAGAAATTAAAAAAAATCAAATGTGCAACAACCGAGTAATCAGAACTCAAAAGACACTGCAGGGTACATTTATAAAGAAGTGACACAGCAAACATTCACTTCAAGTGAATCTATAACTGATGTAAACATATTAACTACCAAGGCATAGGAATAAAGCACCAACTCACCCACGACTTTAGCATCGGAAAGACAGCTGGGTGCTTGCCGGCAAGAGGGAGTCCTCGCTCCAACCAAACAGGTATATACCAAAGGAAGAATTTGTCTGCACTGCATTCCACACTGAATCTGTTTATTGAATATCCATCAGTGACCTTGAGGGCCTGTTCACATGAGTTTCAGGTCCTGATCAGGTCCGGATCTACAGACGTGGTGCTACTGATGCAGTGCGTTTTGGCCGCTTTTTTGATGCGTTGCATTGCTGGAGTGGGGCTGTTAGTATGTTAGCAGCAGTGCAGTGCGTTTTTGACGCGTTTGCGTTTCCTGACCATACAAAATGTGACATGCAGTATTTTTCTGTCGTAAGCTGAACGGACCGCGCACGTGAGAACTGTAGCCCATAAAACACATAGGGATACATTTTGAGTGCAGGAGCGTACGGATCAGGTCAGCACACAAAACGGACGTCGTGTGAACAGGCACTGAGTCCTGCCAGAGGTCCGCTCCCTCTGACATGTTTCACCCAATCCTGGGCTTAGTCAGAGGATCTCTATGACTAAGTCCAGGATTGAGTGAAACAAGTCTGAGGGGCAGACCTCGGGCAGGACTCAGTACCACTGATGGATTTTCAATAAACTGATTCAGCATGGAATGGAGTGTGGCCACATTCTTCCTTTACTATATACATGAGCCAGAAAGATACCCCTGCAGCAAATGTTTGCTGAATGTTGCATTCACAGCTATATACTTATACCCCTAAGATTTCCTGGAAAAATGCTTTAGCTATATAGACACTGTCAAACCACAGCCAATTTCTTATGTTGGATAGAGCATGGAATTGTTAGAACATATGTTAGATTTTAAAATGATGTGCCCGCAGAGAATATTCTCCCTGTCCCAGTAACACCCCAGCACACCATGGAGCAATACAAAAAAAAATAATCTAAAAAACTGAGGTCTTGGCCCTTCCCCATTTTATTAAAAATGAAAACAAACAAAAGTTTTGTATGGAGTAAAGCTTTACTACCATCTGTAATTACTTTTTAAGGGAGACTTGTTCCATGATTGGTACCATAGGGCCATATGAAAAACGTAGGAAAGAGTAAGGTCCAGACCTGGCTATTGCACCAGGAGTTTCAAATCTGTTATTAGATGGCCCTTTACAATACTGAGTTCAAGTATAGATGCCCTTTGTCTCTGAGCAGCTGATCCACAAGCCATGTTCAGGACTCACACCGCCCTCATATCATCCCAGTCGAGCTGAAAACCGGAAATCTTTGTTCCCAAATATAGGACTAAGTATCAAAAGCAAAACGGTTTTTAAGCAGTAGGGCCTACTGCCCACTGCTTTTATCCAAAATTGAAAAAGTGCAGGCAATATTTATTTTGTAATCCATTTAGGACACTTAAATAAGGCTGGCCAGTAAAAACAGATCCCAGTTTATAATTTTTTTTCACATTTACATACATTCAGTGAACCATACTTAAACATTTTTAAAACCTTGCAGTGCTTCAGTCCTAGGGGCACCTTAACAGTATCATATCTGCTCATTTTGCATATCTATATACCAAGACAGGAATTTTATTAGGGCTGCAACCAATGATTATTTTCATATTCGATTAACCAGACGGGAAAAAAAAAAAATTAAATACCATCTTTTAGTTTAAAAAAAAAATACATAAATTGAGTGTGTTAAAAACAAAGTTTACTTCAGAATAACATTGCATGTACATCGCACTGCACTGGAATACACAGCATTTCGGTACCGCACGTTCCAGTGCGGGCGATCACACTGTGGGCGGGCGGCAAGTTTGGGGTGCCAGGGAAATGAATGCAACGCACATCCAGCAGAAGTTTTCAGGCCGAAACTTTCTCGATCTTTTTTTACTTTATTTTTATAATTGTATGTATATCAGACATTTAATTAGTTTCATGTACTTAAAAAAAAACAGAATTGTAAAACTCCAACCTCTATAATAAAATAACCAAACGTTTATGTAAAATAACACACCAAACTTGACAAAGAAATACATACACACATACATATACCAGGTCATCAGTTTAGAGTTAGTGTGCACACGACGATAGGCTTGAGGGGGGGGGACCAACATTTTTTAATTTTTTTTTCTGGTAGTTTTAATTTTATTGACCCCTAGTGTCACCTTTCCACTTTAATAGCTTTAGCTAGGGAATGAGACATGCAGTGGCTGGGAGCAATAGCCAGCCTGCTATTGGCTATTTTAAATTGCAATAGCCAATAACAGGCTGGCTATTGCACCTGTCCAGTGCCTGCTGTCAATCAACAGAGGGAACTGAAGGAGAAAGTAGCCAATAGCCATCTTGCTATTGGCTACTGCAATTTAAAACAGCGCATAGCAGGCTGGCTATTGCTCCCAGCCACTGGATAGGTACTTGACGCCGTCTTTCTACCACCAGAAGAGGGTTACAGGGGAGCAGTGCGGACTTGGGGGAGAAGCTGAGGAACTGGGGCACCAGTGGGGGGCAGCAGCAGACGAGCAGGGGAATGCAGAGACACAGCCGGTCTCTCGTCCCCGCTGGTGCCGGCTGCAGCGGTCTGTGTCCCTGCTGCCTCTGCCGATTGGGATTGAAAGGGACACAGACCGCTGCAGCAGCCGGCACCAGCGGGGAGGAGAACGGTGAAGCAGAGTGGCGGGTGGGTGGGTCGTTTGAGCGATGGCTGAGCTGAATCAACAAATCGGAATCAACAAATCGGAATCAACGAAATCGTTAATGAGAATCGTTGAAAATGATTCTAATTATCGATTAGTTTTTGCAGCCCTAAATTTTATTAAAGAAAACCTTTACACTTATCACATTAGTCTGTTCGGGTATAAAGCAGTGAGTATTTAAAGCAATTTTAGCCATGTGCTGGCACACTATTACTTGGCACACTGCATGCTGAACTAAAGTGCACCAATATATCAGGTTTCGTCTTAGACTCCCACGATAGCCTGGCCCTCTTCTATGAAAAAAAAAAAAAAATATATATATCTTTGCTCTTCAGACAAAGAAATGTCTCTGAAATATGTAAATAAAGAGGTTATCTGTCTGTGCAGATGTACGTGCTTGTAGCTGCACGTTGATAGCACTTCACCAGACCGTCATGACCCACAAATGCAAATTATGCATTAAATACGTTTTTTTTATTAGGAAAGCGAGGGTTGAAAAAAAAAAATACATATACACTAAAGTTTGCAAGGTTATGCAGGCAAACAAAATATTGTTATTAGGAACTGATTGACATACATTGTGTGCTCTTACCGTATGTCTTGGAGTGATTTTTTGAACAATGAATTCTGCTAATGAGGTGATAGATTCATCATTGCTATATTTGCCAAGTCGAAGACTCAAAAATTGTTCAAATTCTAACGGCTCTTTCCTTATCCTCAAGGAAATTCCTATGTAGTTTCCAGCATGTTCTATGGCACTTTTAATGATTTCATCTCTTTGTTCTGTTGCAAATAAATGCTGAAAAAATATAAAAAGATAGTTACTTTAAATGCTAACCAAAAGGATCTATGCCAATTCATGAATGGAGTAAATAAGGCAGTCGGTGCAGAATTCTTTAATATCTAATGTTAACAGTGAGTGGAAAGGGAAGCAGGAAGAATTAAGGGTGGTAGCCTCTGGGGGACAATAGATGCAGATGGAGGGGGTGGCAGGAGCCGATAATGATGAAAGGGGACAGAGAATGCATCAGGATCTAACTGTAAAAGACACAGGACAGCAGAAGCATGTGTTATGAAGGCATGAGGAGAAGGGGAAGGGAAGGTAGATTATAACAGGAGATTGAGAAGGAAAGGGATAGTAGATGGGCAGACAGGGGAACAGCTGGCAAGCTTTTTTTTATGCAGAACGCATGACAGAGTGTTCAAGGAACCAAATCAGAAAAAAGCAGCAAGGACACCTGGGAAAAAAGTGCAGCATGCATGACTGCATCATGGATGGGGGGGGACAAGAGGGGGGGGGAAACAGAAGGGAGAGTAAGAAAACCACAAGCAGCTGGGGCTAAAAAGGGGTGCATGGAAGCAGGCCATGGTTGTGGATCTTTTTTGCTTTTACTCTAGGCTGCCGAATAAGTATGCAATAACAGGTGGGAAAGTAGAGATTTATATAAAATACAAATTATTAGTAATCAACTAAGAATGCACCGGAATGCCGGCCGCTGAAACATATCGACCAAAAATGGCACTGTTGGCAAAATGCCTAAAGTCCCGACTTTCGGATGAAATTGCTGTGCATCCCTGGCTTCTCTCCTCCGCACTGGGCGCTGCTCTGTGTCCCCTCCGATACAGTACAGCGTCCAGCGGGGAGAAGAGAAACCGTCAGAGGAGGCCAAGCACTCCAGGGGAGGAAAGCCATGTGAGCGAGCGGCGTCTCTCCTCCTGCACGGCTTAGCCTCCTGTGACAGATTAGGAGAGCGATGGAGGCGGAGACAGATGTCAGTGCTGTCACAGGAGGCTGAGCTCTACTCCCGCACCACCCCACTCACGAGAACGGGCCAGCAGGGTGGGGGAGAAGTCAGCTGCCATAGATGAGCTCTCCTCCCCGCAGCGCTCGCTGAGCCTCCTGTGACAGTGAGTCAGGATGGAGAGCGGTACAAGCACTCAGTGATCGCTGTCTGTAAATAATTGAGGACATAGTATGTTTACGGTGTCCCCAATTATCAAGGTATGGGATGTGATCTACATCATTCCTGTTCATTCATGATTGTGGACATGGTAAACATACTATCACCACAAGTTATGAATGAACAGGAACACTAAGTAAAGAAGCTTCCTATACTTTATAACAGGGGCTGCAGAAAAAGAGATTGAGGACTCTGTGTCCTCAATCTCCTATTCTATTTCAAAAGGGAAATACCAGGGATCTGTTTAGACCCCTAATATTTCCCTGAAGCCCCCAACAGTAAAGAAGAAAAAATATTTAATAAAAAATAAAAATAAAATATTAAAAGATTTAAAAAGGTTAGAATTCTTTTTTTTTTTTCGGTTTGACTTTTTTATTTTCGGTTTTGTTTTTGAAAATGTAATTTCGGTGCACCGTTAGTAATTAGAATAATCAACTGTCTGTATATAGCAGATTTGCATAACAATATTATGTATAAATTCCTGAACTAAGCATAATTATAGGCAAAATGGACTTAAAAAATGGCCACTCCGGAGGCCAGACATATGACCAATGACAGGTTATTGATCACATGGTCTCTGCTGAAGGAGAGAATAAGTTCTTCAGGCAATGATTATCTGTTTTTGACCAAATGTCAATCCTTAAGCCCATTTTCCAGAAACCATTTGACCAATGCTCTAACTGTATGAAGGTTTTTTATATTGCAAGGAAAACGTACATCCCAGCAGATGACAGCTGTAGGTATTAATAATTCAAAAATACATTCCCTGTCATCAGCAGGAAAATGGAAACTGCCTAACATAGGCACAGCTATAAAACAGTGATCTAGAAAAAGAAGAAGTCCGGACTTGATAAATTGTGTATAATTACAAATACAATGAGCAGGTTGACTTTGGAAACATGGAGTGGATCTCACATTGAAAAGATTTTTTTTTTTTTTGCATTAGAAAAAAATTGAAATTTAAACAAAAGCCAAAAAACATTTCTCAAAAACTCACCAGACGACTAAAGCCTCCATACAAAATACAGAATCCTCCTTGGTAGTCTGTGACCTCTGCAAAGCCTTCTATATTCCGATAGTCATAGGAACAGAGGACACGATTTGTTACTGGATCAATCTGGTCTATTCCCCCAGGAGTGACTTCCAGAGTGACTAATTTTCTTGTATCACTCCAGTGATGTTTATAACAATTATACCTCTGAAAAGACCAGATTAGAAAGCGATCTTACATTTATGTTAGCAATACATCAGTTTTTAAAAAGTAACACAACCAAAAGCTGGTATTAAACTACATCTACGGTACAGCGAGAGGAAAAAAAACTCTTCACATTTTCAGTCTCAGTGACAGTGGTCACGAGGACAAACAAAGGCTGAATATTTCTAATAAGAATACAGAAAACAAAAACCTGACAAAAAGTTTGAACCCTTTCTACCTACCTAAACTTCAAACCGACGTGTCACAATAAAACTGTCACACGTCGGCTCAATAGATTGGGAAGTGAGCGAACACATACCATCGCTCGGTGACTACTTTAAAACACACACACACAGGGACCATGAGGAACAAATGTAGCCACTCTCCAGAAGTAGGAACAGTGTCAGCACCAATTTAGAGATGATTTGAGGATCTACAGCTGAGTGACACACAAATAAGATCCAGTTTTTGTTAATAGTTCAGGTAATGGAGTTACGATTTAACTCCTGATTGGTGTCATTTTAAAAGGAGAACAATGAGGTGAGTGAAAAGCACCCATCCTCATAGTTCGAGCCGACGTGTGACAATGAAACTGTCACACGTCAGCTGAATAGATCGGGAAGTGAGCGAACACATACCGTCGCTCACTCACTCCCTGCAGAAAGCCATGACTGTCAGTATGGGAATCTGAACAAAGAACAAATGAGATAACCGCATCCATTAGTCAGGTCTCATCTTTCTATGGGCTCAATTGACTAAAGAGGATACATGGCAGACTTGTAATAAAAAAATGGACAACAACATAGCTGCCTACAGGCCCAAAAAAAGAAATAACACTATTTGCTGCATATCAGCTTTAAACAACTCTATCTCTAAAGTCAGAATCAGCAACAGTGGGTTGTAAATATATAGATGTTACTTGTTATACTTGCCCTTCCAGTAATCTTCCCTTCAGAGAAGTCTGTTCTAAATCTCTACAACACAAAAAAGAAAAATAAATTACATGTTTTATAAAGTTCTCTAATACAGTTAACAGAGATATGATAGAGATATACTGCACACGCTCCAATGAACTCCAATGAACAGTCACAAATGTGTATGCAAATCAGTTGCTTTCAATGAAGGAAAATATGCTCATTCAGCAAATATCTTACCAGGGCTTCAGTAAGAAGTTCTGTTCTGTGGTCTGTAGAAAATTTTAATGTTTCAGATTTCTTCCCACTGCCCTTTCGAAATGTAAGAGCAAATTCTGATCCTTGCCCTTTGCCCACAGGGCTGATACCGCAAATGTCTCCATAAGGCCACTGTGACACGAAAAGAAAATGCAGCAACATATTCAAAATAGTTCTGACACAAAGCTATCCAGAATAACAGTGCGCATATTTTCAAACTGTGGTTATTTAAGAGTACCCTCTGAGTTGTACCATGAAGGGGTCGCTTTCTTAATTTCTCTCTGATTGCGAGCTTAGCTTGAGTGGATCTTAAAGCAGACCTTCACACCCAAAATAAATTCTATTAATGCATCCCTCTATGTATGATGCTTAATAACAACATAGACATGTCAGGTGTAAAATGCTGTGATTTTGAAATACTTACACTAGCAGACATTCACTTCCTGCTTTGAAAGGGCAAAATGACTTCAGATTAACGCTATGCACACTGGGATTGCCTTGTCATCAGCAGAGCATTGCTGGGAAATCTCATCTGTAGTCTGATGAAATCTCAGGGAAAGGCATTTTTCTACCCTGAGATGATGTGCATGGTTACATGTCCTAGTCACATGTGCCAGAAATCCAGGAAGTAATAGGAGAGCTAGTAATCTGCCCTTAGTAAACATGGCCACTGTCAGAAGACCGGGGAAGAAAAGAGAAATAAGGAATGCAAAGAATAAAAAGCCTGCCATTATCTAGATCTCTGTTTGTAGATTGCCATTAATAAAACATTTCTAAAAAGGTGTATTTGTTGTTATTTTAAAGATATGGGTAAAGGTCTGCTTTAAACCTAAAAAGTAAAGATTGGCTATGTTGAAAAAAAAATGTAAAATGTCAATTGTGGCTAAGCAGTACCCTGAGTAATTTGGCTTTTACCTTGAAGTTACCCTGAAAAATAGCAGTACACTTCCTGGTATGCGAGTGTGCCTAGGCACCCCTGTGCTTACAGCTCTATAGCTGCAGTGTGAGATCTAACCGCTGTCTCTGACTGCTAGTCTCATGAGATGTAGAGAAAGAACTTCTGTGCTGCTCAATGTTCTCCTTGCATGAAGGCTCTGACATAAAGATGCTGGGGTCAACTTTTAAAAGTCCCTCCCATCCTCCACCCCTTCTGTTGTAAATAGGAAATCTGATAAGCTTAATCTAAGTTGGAAACGGAGCCTGACAGGTAAAAATAAGATTCTCTTATCCCATCAGAATGCCAAGCTTTGACATAATCCAACATTGCACAGGACTAAAGCTAGCCCTACACAAAGATTTTACTCGTTCTGCCCAATGGGCTGAAATAGAGAAATCTTTAGATTCCGCTATTCACGTTAAAACAACATGGGATGGGGGAATCCCCGCTGCTAGTTATTGTATTCAGCAGCTGCTGCTCTCGGCCCCTTCAACAAAAAAGTCAATTGAAAACTGACATTTGTTGGAGTGGTGCCAACAGGGTCACCGGGAGCTTGAATTTCCTGCTGAATCAGTTGTAATTTAGATTGTGCATGACCAGATTAGGACAGGTGGGGCCATATCCATGAACACTGGCAGCGACATCTCATCACTGCTAACCTCCAGAGTTTTAGCCAAGCAAACTGAACCAAATGGCCAATCTATCAGTTTTGGGTGGACTGACTTTTGATAAATTATTATACATTTTAACACTGTTCACCTTAGATTAAGCTTCAGAGTAGGTAAATGGGTTATTTTCCAAGTTGCAGATGTAAGGCCCTGTTAATGCCAGGGCAGCTCGGTCAAGCAGATTTGTACGCGCTGAATCGCCAGCATGAACGATGCCATACATACCTATGGGGACTGTTCATGCTATCGCAAGGCTTTGCAAGATCCGAACCACCTGCTGCCCAAAATGCTCCCTGAACTACTTTTTTTCACGCTAATCAGCGCGTTTTCCATATAGATTGCAATGGAAAACGCGCTGATCAGCGTGTTTTGGGGCATTTTTATGTCCAAAAACGCCCTTTCAAAAATCACGCTGAAACGCTTCCGCCCTGGTGTGAATGGGGCCTGAGGGCTCCTGTGCAAATTCTGAATCTGGGTCTAGGGCTGCAGCTAACGATTATTTTCATAATCGATTAGTTAGCCGATAATTAACTTCGATTAAAAAAAATAATTTAAAATAAAATATGCAGCGATACCCGACATGTGTAGCGCAATCATCGTTTTTCTATGAAGGTGCAACCGGCTTGGGGGACTTTCAATTTTTCTATTTCATTTTTTACCTTATTGCTATCACATGGGGGGACTCACAAGCCTTTTAGACCCCTAGTGTCACCTTTCCACTTCACTGGATTCAGCTGCTGAGGTAGCTGAATGTAAATACAGCAGACAGTGGCTGGGAACAATAGCCAGCCTGCTAATGGATATTTTAAATTGCAATAGCAGGCTGGCTATTGTTACAAGTGTCCGCTCATTTTACACTTGATTAACCTGTTTCCTTTTGGTTATACATCTCAAAGTGTCAGCTGTCCGTGATCCTTATTTGTTTAATAATGCCCTCACCAGACGTACCCAGACGTTTTTGCTCTCAATCAAAGAAGGGAAGGTCCGTTCTGTGTGTTCACGGGGGGAGAGGAGAGAAGCCGTAAATCTTGACTACACACAGAACAGACGTTCACTTTATTGATTGGGAGCAAAAACTTCTGGGTACGTCTGGTAAGTGCATTATTAACCCCTTCGTGACTGACGACGTACATAAGGAGCACGGACAGCTGATACTTTGAGATATATAACCAAAAGGAAACAAGTTAATCAAGTGGAAAAGTTAATCCAGAGGAAAGCTGAACAGCTTTCCTCTGGAGCTCTGCTGTGGAGGATCCTACGACAGGGCCTCTTCTTGGCACACTCGATTGTGTTATAAATTTAATGATTTTATTGACACAGAAACAAGTTGCGGCCATCCTAGAAAAGGGTCTCAGTTGCAACTATAGTGACTGTGGCCCCAGTTCCTACACCACTGACTTTATCCCTGTATGGACGAATCCCATCTCTCAGTTCATTGATCAATAAAATAGGCAGCTGAGGTGCAGCCTTCACTCATGATTAAAAAACAAGAAAAATGGCAAAACGAGAAAAGAACATATACATGAACATTCATAAAAGGTTCAAATGGCATCTGCAAATTATGAAAATACATACCTGATTTGTAACTTCGAGGGTGGTTGGGTTGTACGTTGTAATGGCATGTGTTCCCACTGAAAATACTCTCTTATACCTGTGGGAAGGAAAATGGTAATTATATTACCAAAACACACATACAACTTTAATAAGAATTCAATACAAATGTGCAGTCCAAGGAAACTGTTTTTTTTTTCTTCAAGAAACCTAAAATAAAATAATTGCCTATAGAATCATCACTGACTTTGGAAAAAAAATCCTAACAAATGTATCAATATGTGTAAGCTGGTAAATACTTTAGATGTAATCTATTGACTGCCACATACAATGCGGTTTTAAACACCTCTCTCTCTGGGCATGGTAATAACACCTCCTAGACTCCAATTATGCAAATGCAATCAACACCTAGTTGCGCTTAACAGATTGTGTGGATTGTAGCAACATTCACCATATTTATTCCCAGATAATTTTTGTAAAAGTCATTCTGAATTGAGAAAGCTGGTTGTATGACCAGTGAAACATCTTCAAGAAAAATACAGCAAGTCCAGTTGCCTTGACTTATTTTTTACAGATATACCACGACCTGGATAAATTAGAACCTTCATAGACATATGCAGGGCTCGAAAAATCCACTCGTCCACTCGTCTGTGACGAGCAGACAGTGGAGCCCGACGAGCAGCTTCCCGGCCGGCCGTTGTAATTACACGGGCGGCCGGGAGCTTAACACAGTCAAGCGATCGAGCGTCTCTATAGACGCTCGATCACTTGTATCAGCATCTGTCACTGCCGTTGCCGGTCCCGAGATCCGCTGTGCTCGATGCGGCCGGGACCGGCACGGCTCTGTGACAGGAGATCAAAAGGGAGTTCAGTACACAAACTCCCTTTGATCTCGGTAGCAGCATTTGCCCTGTGATGTCACAGCAAACATGTGACCAGGAAGCAGGAAATAGTGGGCAGAGCTGCTATACAGTGAGAAGGAGGCTGCAAGCAGATCACACGTTTTTTCCCCAGTAGGTCTCCCTCTGTCCATCTTCTTTTACATTCTCTTGGGGTCCCTTGGTGACATTAAGGGTCTTGGAGACCCTTGATGTCTCTATAAAGAGGACCTGTCATGTAAATTGGCTATCCCATAGGGGGCTTCTTAGCCCCCATGTAATAGCAATAAAGTTGTGTGTTAAAAAAAATAAAGTAATATAAAAATAAAGAAGCAAAAAAAAAAAATTAAAAAAGAACATTTTTTTAAGTCCCCGCCCCCCAAATACACATGTAGATATGCGTCGGGTGCGCCTACGTGCGAAAACGACGATTGCGCCTATTGTGCCGCACATTACATATCGCCGCAAATGTCGCAATGAGAGCAATAATTCTAGAGACATTAATCACTGATAACACTAAACTGATGAGCAGTAAAAGCATTTTAATCGTCGCGTATGGGCGTTTTTTGCAGACGCAGTTTTAAGGCTTGACATATTTGGTGTCTATTTACCCGACGTGACCCCGACTTTTATGTTTTACCAAAAATATGGGTAACAATAAATGTTTTATAACATAGGGAAACTTTTTTTTATATATTTATGGTACTTTTTTCATTATATAGTAAAAAAAAAAAATAACCCCCCGTGGGGTCACAAAAGAAACCTCTATCTGTCCCCAAAAATTTTTAACATATATTGCAAGGCTATAGTCCGGTTATGCTGACTGGTGACATTTTTGGACTGACTGGTGAGACACCGTCAAATTTTTCAAGCCCTGGACATATTTATATTTCAACTCTATTTCCTTAACAGGCAAAACAGGGGAATGGAGGAGCACAGTGGCTTAGTGGTTAGCGCTTCTGCCTTACAGCACTGGGGGTCCCTGGTTTGAATCCAGATCACTATCTGCAAAAGGAGTTTGCATGTCCTCCCTGTGCTTGTGTGGGTTTCCTCCGGGTACTCCGGTTTCCTCCCAAATGCTGGTAGGTTAATTGGCTCCCGTCTAAATTGGCCCTGTATGTATATGACATAGGGACCTTAGATTGTGAGCTCCTCGAGGGTAGGGACGGATGTGAATGTGCAACTATATAAAGCGCTGCGTAAATTGTCGATGCTATATAAATACCTGTAATAAATAAAATAAATAAATTATTAAGTAGTCTGTTTAAAGTTGATCAATCAAGCCTATGCATTGTAGAACATTTGTGCTGTATTTTCTTTCCTTTAAAACAAGGGTATTTTCCTCCATGAGTCACATTTGGTCAATTGTAAGATTTCCACAGAAGTGGAGTTAAACTTTAAGCTATAATTTAGTAGAAAATTAGTTATGAATTGATGCCATCGGCTTGCTAAAACTAAATACTATGGAATAAGTAAGTCCACGGACTCAAAAGTAGAAATGAGCCAGTTATGTTCTTGGATAATTTAGTGATTTTTATCCAAATGAACTGCATGGTTGGGTAATGCCACCAGATGTGGGCAAAAGGTACCTGGAGTGCTGAATCCTCTCTGATAAAGGTGAAGCATTAGGGATTAGTGCATTAGTGCATGCATCTTAGCTAGAGTCTGGTACAATCAGGTGATGTTTTATTTCTTTTCATCCATTTTTGTGAAAATAGATAAAGTGCAAGTTAAAGATAGAATTTTTAGTTTTTGATTAGCTGTTGGTTGCGTTTCTGTACCCAGTGGAATATAAACAAAAGGGCAGGAGGAGCAGTAGTAGCCCACAGCAGTGTCTCTACTGGACTGAGGACTGATAGGGATCGTACAGGTTTGGGTAAGCGGTTTGCAAAGAAATCTAAGGTGTGTATAACCCAGTGTTCACGATTTCCTAAAGGGACTCTAAAAAAAGCTTTCAAATGAATGTGAAGGAGGTGTAGGGTTGTGCATTACATTTCTTTTAAAAGAGTCGTCTTGCATTCTGGAAGGTAAATGATGGTCAGTTTATAACTATTAATTTTTTAATCTATGCTCTATTTTTTTTCCAGCATTTTCTAATATTTCAATCTACTTTCCCTCTCAGATAGACCTAACCAACCAAACATACCAGTCACAGGTAAACGCCATACACCTATGAAGTTTCACCATATATTTTTATTTTTTGTAAGACTATTCATGCGTAAAAATATTTCCATATTTATAGGGTTTTAGCAATACATTTACTAATATTTGGCAGTAAAATACACACATTAGCAGGTATCATCTGATGCTATAAGTTATACATAACAGAATACATTTGAACACTGCTCTAAAAACACAATAGAATGTTGTGTCTATAATCAGTTAAAACAAAAGTATAGACGGACCTCCACAGCAAACTACGGAATATGAATTACAATTGAGCCCGATGGATATCAAGCCACTGCACAGTCAAAATGATATCCATAATCAAATACCATTTCCCTAATTAAATGTTCTTCTAAAAAATTCCAAACTGCTGAAACAATACACTGAAAGGTTTATTTCCTCAGATGTCAACAGGTATCAGTGCAACTTGACTGTACTTTCTAAATCATACCCTAAAAATGTTTCAGGAAAACAGAAATGCTGACAGTGCATACTGCTGAGCTCACATTTAAACAACAGGAAAGAATAGAAGGTTTTGTTAGAGACTTATCTTCTGCAGTGAAGCAAAGCGGATGAAGAATTTGAGCAAATCCCGGAATACAAAAATACGAGCAGAGGTTCACTGGCACATTTCAAGAGATTAGATAAAAAAAAAGCAAAAAAAAAAAAAAGCATATTATATGAAAATATAGATTGAATATTAAAAAAGAAAAAAAGAAAGCCTATTTCAGTACAAAAAAGTTTTTGCTGTGTAAAAAAAAACAACAAAAAAAAAACAGCTAGTTACAAAGACACATTTTAGGGGTATCTGAGGTAAAATTAAAATATCTTTAGGAAGAGTAGGAAATAGATAAAACCACTGTGTATTTCCTTTCACTTCAAAACACAACAGTAACAAGAAAACCTCCCCAAGTAAGAGGGAAAATTCCTTTCACATGGGAGGCAGGCTGTACTGGGTGGCTGAGAGGCAACCTGCAGGAGGCAATATTGCTGCATCCCGAAAACCGTTTGTGTGTGTGTTTTTTTCATCCCGAGAGGGAGAATACATTGAAAAACAGCATCTTTACCATGTGCCAAGTGCTTGTCCTGTAGTTGTGACAGGACCCTACAACCCAACATGCAGAGATAAAAATGCTGCACTGCAAATCATCACGGTCATGAGTATAGGCCGTAGGCAGCCAGCATGTCACACTCTGTGCGGACGGTAAAACCCACCTATTTTTACACCCGCTCGGCTGCCTCTGTGACCTTTACCTTGAACAGTTCTATCCACTAAAAATCTCTCCTCACCTCCCATTTAGGTGACAATTGGTAAGGTTTGTATTTCCTATCACTTCTGACAGTGGTCAGCAGAGGTGACAAAGGTTCCAATCTGTACACAATCTATTTCAAAGTAAACAAAGAGTATACCGATCAGCCAACATAATGAACACACGCCTAATATTGAGTAAGTCCCCTTTTGCCATGGTGACTCATTGAGGCATGGACTCCACTAGACCTCTGAAGGTAAGCTGTGGTATCTGGCACCAAGCAGTCAGTAGCAGATCCTTTAAGTCCTGGAAGTTGTGAGGTGGGGCCTCCATGGATGAGACCTGCTTTTCTAGCACATCCCATAGATGCTCAATTGGATAGAGATTTGGAAAATTTGGAGGCCAAGCCCACACCTCAAGCTTATTGGAGGCCAAATTTGGAGGCCAAGCTTGTGTTCCAAAACCATTTGTGAACCATTTTTGCAGTGTGGCAGGGCCTATTATCCTGATTTAAAAGATCACATCAGGGAAAACAGTTTCCATGAATGGGTGTATTTGATCAGCAGCAATGTTTAGGTAGGCGGTATGTGTCAAAATAACATCCACGTAGGGTATCCTGGTGCCATCTCTTGCCCAGGTAAGTGATCCACAAGCACCCAGCCATCCACATAAAAGTAAAAAAAAAAAAAAATCAAAAATGGGATTTATCAGACCAGATGACCTTCTTCCATTGCTTAGTGATCCAATTCTGATGCTCATGTGCCCATTGCATGCACTTTTGGTGGTGGACACAGTTCAGCATGCGA